GACTTCCCAGGCTGGAATGCCACTCTATGCCTGCTGCTCTGCTCCTATGCTGACAGCCTGGTGTGTCTCCTGTGTTTCCCTGTGGTCCACATTAGCTGTTCCTCTGTGTGATTCCAATCCCTGGCAGCCATCACCCCTGGCTCTATTCCAGGAGGAGGCCGCAACACCATCAAGGGCTTTTCTGTTCCGCTCACATGAGAGAGGGTCAATGTCTCCAGCACAAGAAGAAACCAGCAATTCAATGTGGCACCCTACCACCACTCTCTTTCTCCCTCCCCTGACCCCCGATTTATCTCGGCCATGTTCAGAATGGGCCCCCATTGACAGTGGTCCCCCTGTTTCCTCGGGGGCCCGCTGTCTTCACTGGCTTCCCCCCCCCACCCGCTGTGCACCCTGTCTCCGAAGCCTCGCACACGAGCGCGTCTGCCTGTCCGCAGAGCAGGATTCTGGGGCTTTGTGAATAGTGCCGGATGCCGTTCGGCATCCCAAAAACAGCCTCTCAGGGCAGCCGTGCCCGCAGCCCTGTGGGCGAATGGCTCCTTTTCCGGTCATCCTTTGAAGAGGCACCTCCTGTACAGACGGGCCTTTTGATCGGGAAATGACATGACGTTCGCGGGATCTCACAAGACATTATAGATGTACACGGCACAGTCCCGCAGTAGCCCTATCAAAAACGCTTCTGTAAGCAGTTAGCGAACAGTCAACAAGGAAGGTCTGTTTACCCAAGGAAACCGAGTTTGGATTAACTCTGTTATACTGGAATTTTCAATGTTTGGACAAAAAAAAAAAACGCTTCCACCTAGATTTTTGCCACCAGCATCTCTAGTGAACTCAACCTTGCTCAGATTATGGCTCCACTGTTCACTTCTTCCCCTAATCTTCTTTACTGGCCTTTCCAGAGGGCATTGAGCTAAAGCAGCAAAGCTGTTCCCATCGCTGTTAATGCCGGAATGCACAGTCTCTGTTTACTGCACAGTAGGAACACGGTTCCAGAGGGCAGCTGCTAGTCAGGGTTGAGTTGCTGTGGCCTGGGTACATATAACTATAGCAACACAACCACAGGTCGTCTCCCCCATTACTAATGTAAAGCGACAATACAGATTCTGTTCATTTTTAATTCCAGTCCGGCCTGGCGCAAATTTTATCACTCCTTGTGGAGACATTTTTTATTTTTTTAAAAAGACATGCATACAGACTCGCATGTTGATGCACAGGTAACATAAAAACACTTTGCCTAAAAGCATGATGCCAATAACATAAAAACATAATAAAAAAACATGACGATAACGCCATCTTCTTAAATAACGTACTCTTTCCAAAAAGTGCCCAATGCAATAAAGCAAAGGGTTAAGAAATTTTGACAAGAATTATAATTGAATATAACAGATTGCCTAGCCAGGTTCGCAGAAACTTTCCATATTATCTGAGCCATTGTGTGGCTACATATCATGGTGCAAAAGAAAAGTTTGGCAGTTTTTAATGATTTGTTTAAAAATCATCTCCAGCGCATCTGCAAGATGTCAGAACTCTGTACATTTCCAGACCACTGCTCTGTTAAGATGATTCATGTATTTTTGTTTTAAAATCTAGAAAAATGTGTGTTGGGGCTAAAATAAAAAATATATCTATCTCTATGGAACTGATTTTATTTAAAACAAAATTCTCATCATTTCTTTGTTCATAAAATTCAAGCAGAGCTCAGATGTTCAGAAAATGTTTTTTATACGCCACGGGATTTTTTTTATCAAGTGAAAAATTGAAACTTTTCAGTTTCTCCTCAGCTCTCCCTAACTCTCTAAAGGACGCTCTCTTCAGTCTGGGACATTAAACTGACTTCCAGAAAGAAAATGCCGACTAGCACCTGTAGGATAAAGTATATGGCGGCTTTGGACCCAACAGCGATCTGAATCGGCCCGAGGTTTCCGGCACCCCGCTGCTCTCTCTTGCTGATCATGACTGAAATGGAGTCTGTAGCCTTGGGGCTATGCGAGGATGCCTGAGTCTCACCTCTGCACTCTCGTTTGTGCCGGTCATGGAACTTAGCAAGACTCGACGACTGCCACGGAAGCCCGCCCTCCGTCCCTCCCGCCCGGGTCGATCGTCTCCCTGACTCGAGGTACTCACTCTGGGCAAGAGGTCCGCTAGCTGCGCCTTGCGTGTGGAAGTCTTCTGTTTTCCTTTCTGCCGCTCTCTTCCCTCTTTAACCCCCCTCACTTTCTCTTCCTCTCGGCTGCCTTTTCCACGGGGGCTCTGGGAATGCGCTCGGGCTGTTCTTCGGCGGCGGGGGCGCGGCGTGCCGAGAGCTCCCCCCCCTCGACCGCCACCCCCCACCCCCTGCCGAGCACGACTCGTGACCAGAAGCTCATTATCAGAAAGGTCACTCCAGGGACACCCCACTTTGCTTGGGAAGAGGGTGTATGTCAGGAGGAGTGGGAGGGGGGAAAGGAGGGGTGGGGCTAGGGTGTGACAGGCAAGAAATGAGAGGGAATGTCTGGGGGGGGGCAAGTGGGGGAAAAAAGCTGCAAATAGGGAACCACAAATTCATGGACAGCTGCCAGGCTGCTGAGATGAGCTGGATTAGTGGCCATGTTTATCTGCCACGTCGTCTGGATTTACAAGTGGCTCTTAGGCAGCACAAGGAACCTAACAATTAACACCGAAAACTGGGGTACCAGCAAAGATTCCAGTGGGGACCTGCAGTTGGACCCTAGAAGAAAAAAGTACCCTGAATGCTTCCAATATCCAGATCTGCAAATTCTATAAATTACATACAATTAGTAGATGCTTCAGGTAGAAGTAATGAAAATCATCAGTTTTCCAACGGCTTATGAAATACGGGGCCACAGCACAGGGACTGGGAAGCACAGGGCACGAAGCAAGGCGTGCACACACACACACACACACACACACACACACACTCACGCACACGTAGGGTATACATATCCTTATGGGGACCGCTCATTCATTTCAATGGGAAAAATGCTAACGCTAACTATGACAACCTTAACCCCTACCCTGCCCTAACCATAACCATAAGTAACCTAACAAACTACAAGAGTTTTTGCATTTTTAGTTTTTTCATAGCAGTCACCGATTTTTATAAAACGGAGTTTTCCCTTATGGGGACCAAGAAACCGGTCCCCATAAGGATAGGTAAACCTGCTCGCACACACACACACACACACACACACACACACACACACACATAAAGTATGAAAAACACAGAGGTACCAGATAGCCTAAATGCATGTTCTTGGACCGCAGGAGGAAACTGGAGAACCTGGAAGTGCAGACGACCATTACTCTAGTACGGTGGCTGATGACAGGAGGCCGTAAACAGCTTGGCTGATCGATACGTGCTTCCATAAGGGCTGTTCACATACTGTACCACGTTGACATCAGCGGTGAATGCACTGTACTTCTCATCTCTCAAAATGCTGTCGCTTCCTCTGCTTTGTGCCATGACAGCAATCACACACACACACGCACAGACACACACACACACACACACACACGCACAGACACAGACACACACATCTATATTCCAGTGAGACTTATTCCAGTCAGATGCCTTTGCCCATAACCCCTAGGACGAGGTTTACTGTCTGTTTTCATCACTTTCCTTCTGAATTTATTTTGCAGTATAATTTGAAAAAACCTCATTTTAGGCTCCGTATATAGTGCTAGCCCAGCCTGTCTGGCCGTGCCCGTCTTCAGGTCCAAGCACGACTGCGAGAGTATTGATCATGCTTGCAGAAGGAAAGACGGATCATGCGTATAACATATAAAGAAAATCCCGCATGTCAACAGGCCTGCTACAGTATGTCGCACTTCTCTTGCATTTTCCATGCAGATTCCAAACATTAATTAGGGCAGGAATGTATGTAATGGGGAGCCGTCGGCGTGACTCATGGTCTCTGGTGGAGACGCCTGTCTCGTGTTTCCCTCTCATATTCCGTGCATGAATTATTCACTACGTCCATCTGTTTCCTTCATCGCCATGTTACTGTGTCTCTCCGGCCTCACTTGCATTTTATGTGGTGCGGGATAATTCACAAGAACGGGATCTGGAATGTCGCCCCAATTCAATGCCCCTTTCTTTTTTTTTATGGGGCAAAACAAAAACCTTTTGACTGCTTCTCAAGAGTCAGCGGCCGGGAAAGGCACTGCTCAGCGTGACTTACAGTGATGTTTAAATTAAATGCCTTCCTATAAAATGAGGTCAGTTATTAGTCTAATGACCCGCTAAATGGAGTAACTTGCAGCTCAGAATTTTGGTTACGTCTCTTTTTGACTTTTTACCTGCCACCAGTGTCCAGATTTAAAGGCCCAAGATATTCGTGCTCCAGTCTGGCCCGCGGTGTTCAGGCCGGCCCGCGGTGTTCAGGCCGGCCCGCGGTGTTCATTTTCTGTCTGGTACTGGGGCATCTCTGGCACTTCTGCCAAAATAAAGTTTAGCATCTAATAGGACAGAAAGCTGGACACTTGAGCTATGTCCCCAGGAAGCAGACAGGTCACATTCTACAGTTCTGCGGTTATCCCCCCGGGAAATAACGAAGATCTCTTGAGACCGGCAGGACTGAGAATGATATTACCCCTGGTGAATGTGAAGAGGAGGGATGATGGAATCGACATAACCTGCTTTTCCCGCAAATCGAAATGTGAATCGAAATGTGATTGCGATTATTACTAGTGGGGGGGGGGGGGATGTTGCCAGGTGGGGTAAACGGTAATGCTTTACATTAACTGCACCTTCATAACGCTTTTATATTGCATTCATAAAACCTTCAGTACACCTTCATAATGTATTCATTAAGTATTCATGAAACATTCATCATAAAACATCATGTACAGTATGTATACCTTAACATCCTGACATCCCTTAACAGCTGTAATATACATCAATAACAAACATTATATAATAACAAACATTATAATTGTATAATCATGTAATGTTTCTTATTAATGTATATTAAAGCTATTAAGGAATGTTAGGATGTTAAGGTGTTATGAAGGTGCACTGAATGTTCTATGAATGCATAATAAATGTATTATGAAGGTGCACTCAATGTAAAGTGTTACCAAATATTATTATAATAAAATAAAGGGCTCCCAGGATTTGTAACCAATAGATTGTGGCATTACAAGATCACATCCCACAGCAGAGAGAGACACTAAGACCAGCATGTCAATGTTAGTTTGGATCTAAACTGCAGCTCAACGGGACAGCGATGAGCCAACGATTTTTAGCCCACTTAAAATACCCCCCCACACATACTGTTGTACCTCTTATCCCTCCTCTGGGGCATCTGTCAGTACATTTGGGGGCGTGATGTGATTCCCGTTGAGCTGACAGCTTGGCCAGGGGAGAGAGGGAGTAAGCGAGCCAGAGAAAGAAAGAAAGAAAGAGACAGAAGATGAGAGCAAGATGGAGAAATGGGACAACAAGAGCGAGAGTGGGAGGAATGGAAGTATTAGCAGCGATAATAGCGCAGAAGAGAAAAATCCACTGTGACTCCGGCCACCATCTTCATGGGCCTCCAATGGGGTCAAGGGTATCAGCTGACTTCAAGTAAAACCATCTGACTGCTGGTTTTTCAAACCAATCAAGGTTAAGTGGGAACAATTAACACAACTTTACAAGGAACCAGAAGGTCAGCCTCCAGCAGGAGTGGGCAGCGAATGCTTGGTTATTCAACTAAAAGCATCTGTTTCCAATTGTATACCAATGAGCTGAGTTTTCGTTATTGTACCTCTTTTGCATGTAATTATAGAGAAGTCTGTAAAAGAGCTCTCCTGCACCTGGGTCTCCAGCTAGACTCGTTTTCGTCTGTTTTCAGAAGATCATCCAGGCGGACAGCTTACAAGGCAATCTTCTGTGACCATTCTGTTATGCTCCGTTGTAATCGATGTCAGGTTCCATGTAGCAGCTCATTTTCCCCAAGTCAAGGGAAATGGGAATTCTTTCCACATGCTGTAGTTCTTTCCACTCGACTGCTGCCAGCCAATCAGCTCCGTCCCCTTCCCTGACCAACACCAGGCAGCCGTCTCAGTGTGACCCAGGCAGTTTCGTCTGGAGAGTCTTTCTTGACGTTATCCCAGGTAGCATATATATCCGCCACCTCTTCATGGGGGATGTTGCCCTTGGAAGGTGGGGGGGGGGGGGGGGGGGGAGTGCTGTTGGTGATGAAAAGCCATAAATTTCAAGGCTCAAGGAAGAGCATAACGAAAGTACCATGTGACGCCTTCATACTCAAGTGAGTTTAATTAAGTGACATGCTACTGTTTTTTTTATCGCTCGCTTTCATTCAATGTAAATGAACACAGGCACCTCATTCACCCTTAACTTCAGCTGAAAGTTATGGTTCATTAAAAAGCCATAAACCTTCAGTTAAAAATTTATATTCGAACAGCTAGTGATAAGAATACAGAACCCCCTACTCAGACGTAGTTTTGCCCAACACACCCATGACAAGTTCATCACCAGTGATGCTGCATGAGATCCATCAGGTGCTGTGTAACCCATTAAAATCTGTTTCTTTTCTATTTACTCCTATGGATGAGCAACATCTCACCTGTCACCGTGGGTCATGTTTTCCAAAGAGAAAAAAAATGGCATCAAAGGTTCGATGATGCAAATCCTGTCCCTGGCTGTCTCACTGGGGGAGTGAACGAAACTGTAACCGTCTCCCTTTCCTCCCGTCCGCCACGGCTGCCCTAACCACCATCCCGAAGTGATTGACAGGCCGTGCAACAGACGAACGCAAATTCGAGAGTCAGGCCCCCATCGACAAGGGATGGTTGCTCAGGCAAAATTTACAAAGGCGAACCCCCTACCTTGGTGGTCGAAATTTATGAAGGAACCAACCCTCCCCCCTTCCCCACTTGCCAAACTTACTGATCACTAACAATTTACTAAGAGGGAAAACCCCCCGCCCCCCCACCGGCCCCCCCTCAAACAGCTCGAGAGCCCATCCCTACCACCCAGATGGACAGCACTTGATTTATCTAGACCACCCCCCCCGCCCGACCCTCCACACATTGCCTAACATGAACTTCGGGGGGGACTGTCAGCTCATCGCATTAGGCCTAAATCTTAGTGGTATGGAAGATGCTGGGAATGAGTTATTTTTCTTATTGTTATTGTGCTTTATTACTAGGGCAGCAGCAGCAGCAGGAGCCTCCAAACCCTGATAAATCAAAGACACAACAGATTCACTTTAAGCCCATAAGCGATGCTACAAGCTAAGAGATTCTCCAGAGACCGAGCCAAATGCCATTAGACCAACTCCCAAAACGTAGGTGACATAGCAGTATTTTCCCTCAAAAACATCAGATTACACGTATGTATGTATATATGCACACACATTGCCTGTAGAGCTGCTTCGAGGGCAGGGGAGATTCTAGGCTTTTTTAAGGTGGGGGGGTATAAACAGAGCCATAATTCAGACAGAAGGACCTGCCTTAATAGCCAATGATATGTTTTGAATTAGTGAGTGACAGGGAATTTCAGGACCAATCAGCTGGGGGCAGTGCCCTTGTGGTCCCACCCCTGTATACACTCATGTTCAAGGGTACATAGGTTGACTGTTCAGAGAAAACCACTGCACACCACTGTTGTACTGAGCTGTTTTGCACATGTGATCTTCTTTTTTAGTTTAATTCCCTTTTCATCTTTCTCCTCTGACCTCTCTTGTTAAGAATGTGTGATTGGCCACAGAACTGCCTCATATTAGATATCTTTGTTTATTGCACCATTCTCTGTGAACCCTAGACACTGTCATGCGTGAAAATCCCAGGAGGCTGGCTGTTTGTGAGACGCTGGAACTGCCACATATGGCGCAACAATTGCACCACATTCAAAATCACTTATTTGAGGCTCCTTAGCCATTCTGATGCTTGGTCAAACAGTAAGTGAACCTGCTGACCCTATCGGTGCGCTGTGTGTATTCAGCTGCAGCCACGCGATTGGCTGTTCAGAGGAGCAGCCTGTTTGCATTCAAAAGTATGTGTATGTAATAATACTGGCCACTGAGCATAAAATCACTATAAAACCGTGTCTTTTCTGTTTGAACACAAAGAGTTTGATGGATTCTTTTTCAGCACCCAGTCAGTTACATGTTTATTTCCTGCAGCCTGTTTAGATGTAGGTGTTACCTTCTCCAATTTTAATAGCGCTAAGCTGCTCACATATTGTCACGCAGCAGATGAAATGAATCACCCCACCAGTGAGTTCATTTCTGATCCATAGCGAGGCTGACAGTCCTGCTGGTGATTCTCCAGCCTCGGCGCGGCCCAGACGGCGTCTGCAAGCTCGCGGGCTGGACGCGAGCGAACTTAATCTAGAGCTGACAATTAATCTGCCGGGTCCGGAAAGTCTGCCGTTTCCGCAGAGACGCTCTGGCATCAAGAGTGGTGACAGCTGTAAGACTCCTGTCTCATTACTTGGGATCACACATCAGCAGACACGGGCCCATCCGCGGCACGTCCCGGAAACACGCCGCCGCTCAAACGTCGCAGAGAGAGACGGAGAGAGGGAGAGCGCTTTTAATTGAGACATTGATAAACTGCAGGCAGTTGCAGCAGAAAAAGCGTCGATGCAGTTTTTTGCAGTCGGTTATATGACCGGTCATGACAATAGCGTGACAGTCGGTAAGAAAGCCATTGATATGGACTACGGTCGACCGAAAGGTACGTCATCTAGTGTGAGCTTCAGGTACCTGTCTCCACGTATCCAGTTTTAGGGTTTCTGCACCTTGTCTTTCCAGTTCTAGTCATCAATCCATCCATCCATTTTCTACTACATTTTATCCAGTGCAGGGCCAAAACAATCCTATTACTAGGCACACAGACTAAGCAAGGTGCCCCTGAAGCAGGGTGCCAGGCCTGAACCCAATAAATCCATCCATCCATCCGTCCATCCATTGTCCAATCATTTATCCTGGTCAGGGACATGAGGGGGCTATACAAGTGCATATACTGAGGCGAGACCAAAAGGACGCTGGCCCCAGCTGAAAGCTGACTGGTCACCGCATTGCCCCCTCCTCTGTCACCCACGGATACAAAACATATCATTGGCTAATGATAAATTGGCCTCTTTGTATGACCCACCACCTAAAAAAATCCTAGAGTTGCCCCTAATAAGACTGTTTGATTTACTCCGCATTAAAGGGACACATGCAAATTATATTTCAACACAAGATATACAGCTATTGAGTACATTCCTGTTTTAGTTCGTAAAATTGGCCCTTTGCTTTCTTGCATGTGCAAGAATCTGTCACAGTTTGTTGTTGTACAATGAGCTGCGATTTCTACTGCCTAAGAACCCTGGAAGCACTGTGTAGGTGAGTGAGTTTTGGGGCTCTGTTGCGTTACTGCACCCTGTTGTTTCCCCATAGACACAGCAGAGCACAGGCGACTACCTTACTGCTGTAGCTAATCTGTCTATATAACCCGTTACCCGTTATATAACTCACAGTGGCCCCCGATCTGGTGTCTTCGGGACCCCAAAGGGACGTCCAGTAGTGGTACAAGACCAACCCTGACTGACCTGGATGAACTCAAGATTATAACAGGGGAAGCACTCTGGAACATTCTTCTATACAAACAGTGTGCATCATAGTGAATAAGTGGGACAAAAAGAGATTGAGATAAGAACTGAAATAGATGCTTGAGAGAAGAGGCAAGCGGTCGCTCTATGGTTGTGTGTTTTGATTCGGAGTGTTCTCAAATCCAGTTTCTGCGAGACCCAGGAAGAGGCGAATAGGGATTAGTGACTGGATGATGACTATTCTGCGGGTGGGTTCACTGCCCCCCTCCCCCCCCCCGCACACAAGAGCCATGGTACATCTGTTTCCCACTCACTGGCTTAATTCGGCCTCCGAAGAAAATCTTTCGATGGTCCTTAAGCGATTTCAGATATCAGTATTTCAATTAAAAAAAAAAAAAACATCTCTTTCTTTGCCACAAGCTACTGAGCCATGATACTGGTAACTGAGGTAGGAATCAATGGAAAATTAATTACTGCCAGAAGCATATGCCTCAATGAGAACTAGGAAGACAGTTTGACAATAGATTAAAAAAAAAAGTCTGACACACGGATTTAGCTCTGCAGACGTTCTGAAAGAGAGAGAACATTCTTCTGTTCTTTCGGGAAGACCCAGTGGATATCATTACTGGTACAGTCTAGGTTTTCCCTAGTTTCACACATCACCAAAGGTTCTTTCAACATTCGCTCAGCTGTGATAACCCCTCCCACAGATATTCATTACCCAATCAAAAACGGCAATAGTGACTAGCAAGAACGGCAACACTGACTGGCAAAATCCCAACCAATGTTGATGAGTACAACATTATCATATTGTACTTTTCATTCAGTACAAATTAACCCACAATGATTTTGACTGAAAAAAAAACTATATCCGAAATGCATACATGTGTTTTCATCTGCTAATTCAATATGATCAGAGACTGAAAGACATTTCTCCAGTGATCCGCTGCAGGCTTAAAAAGGAATCTCATTTTTCATTGGATAACAGCCACAACCTTCATACACATCGAGATGGACTACAGAAGTAACCTTGGTACATTTTTTCTGTCATTGAAGAGAAGAAATAACTCAATAATTAATTTTATTTTGGGCACTGGAATCAATGTTAGGAAAACACACACTATATGGACAAAAGTATTGGGACACACCTGTTAATTATTGATTTCATTCAGACTCATTGCCACAGGTATAAAATCAAGCACCTAGACATGCAGTCAGGTTCACAAACATATTTGAAAGAATGGGTCCTTCAGAAGAACTTTGTGATTTCATGTGTGGTACTCTTACAGGATGCCACCTTTGCAATAAGTGAGTTTGTGAAATTTCTTCCCTGTTAGATATTCCATGGTCTGCTGTAAGTTGTATTATTGCAAACATTTAGGAACAGCAGAAACTGAGCCATGAAATGGCAGATCACTTAAGTAACACAGCAGGATTGGCAAATGCTGACGTGCATAGAGTGTAGAAGTTCCCAACACTCTATAGACTCAGTAACTGCAGAGTTGCAAACTTCCTCTGGCATCAACCCCAGCACAAAAACTCTGTGCCAGGAGATTCATGGAATGGACTTCCATGGCCGAGCAGCTGCCTGCA